GCTTTACTGTTAAAATACAATAATGTTTGGGGGCAAAATGCTAGTAACTTAAGGCTAGACTGTACAGTCCTTAATTATTTCAATGAGGGGAGGGATGAGCCAGTGCTAGACTGACTTAGGGGTTAGGATTCAGTTCCCTGCTCTGCCACAGACTGTATGTGTGACATTAGGGAAGTCACTTAGGGCATGTCTATTCTGTAATAAAAAACCTGCAGCACAGAGTCTGAGCCTGGGTCAGCTAACTTGGATTCACAGTGCTCGGGCTTGTGGGGCTAAAAATTGCAGTGTAGATGTTTGGGCTGGGACTGGAGTCTTGGCTCTGAGACCTGTCATAGGGGGAGAATACCAAAGCCAGGTCTCCAGTCCGAGTCCAAATGTCTACACTGCAATTTTATAGTGCCATGAGCCCGAGTGAGCTGACCCGGGTCAGCTGTGGCCATGCCATGGATCTTTTCTCACAGTGTAGATGTACCCTACATTTCTCTGTGTTTGAATTTCTTTTCTGTAAACTTGGGATAACAATACCTCCCTGTCTCACTACATAAATACATTAAAGATTGTGAGATTTTCAGATACTATGGGAATGGGGATCAAAATACAGAAAGTTCATTTCCCCTGAGCAAGGACTGCAGGATCCAGCCTTGGTTATGGCTGGGATTTTCAACAGGAGCTAGGTGCTCAACTCCTTTTGATTTTCAGTAGGATTTGGGTGTCTGTCTCCCTTAGGCTTCTTTGAAACCAACGTGTAGAGAAATGATACTAGGCAACATTTGGGCCGGTAATGCTAATCAAATGAACTGAGACAAGTGTTTAAGTGGAAGCCAGATATTTTAATCACACAGTCACTGCGGAGGGTTAAATTCAGTTTGGATGAACTTCCCAGATTTAATATGAGGAAGGTCAGTGTCAGCGCAAAAAAACCAATCCAAAAAACCAATAAAGAATTCCACAACTACCACTGGTACTGACAACTTGAAAGCACATGGTCAAACCTACCAATCTTCAGCCTTTTCTTTTAGGCTGATGTTATTCTCAAAGTGGTCATGGGTGTCAAAGGGAAGTGGTTAGCTGTGGGGGA